TAACACTGCTCGGAGCATATATGGTGTATCGGCTTTGCAATAAGCCGCTGCCGTTGATAATATGAGTGAGAAAGTTCTAGAACGCGTACAAACAGAGTCCGTGCAAACGGAAATAGATGCTAAACAAATGTCTTTCTTTATTTGTGCTCCAATAACAATTGTTCCAAAACAACTTGCTATGAGTGTTCCTTGTTCATTAACATGTACAATCCAAGTCCATACCTTGAAGACACAGCATAAGATCATAGTTCATCTTGCACGCTACTCTGCCGTGCGGTCAAAAACTGTGTGCTTCCCAATTACCAACGCACACACCTGGCTCTTACACCGGTGTTACAATTATACTGTGTCACAGTGCCACCCAGTGGCCAAGTAAAACTTTACAATAAATGGCTCCAACAATAACACAATGAACACGTTGCATCCACTTTTACAATGGATTATATTTCTCATAGTTATAATGTATTATAAGTCTCATATATTGCCATTTTTCTTATGCTACTTTACTTAAAGCGGTCAAAGACCACTTATAAGTACACAGTAAAATCCTGAGTGTTAAATTAACACTGCTCGGAGCATATATGGTCCCACTCTAAAAGAGTGTTAAAGTAACACTGAAGCAGTGTTAAAGTTAATTAGATAATTATGTGATTAATTAAGTGCTGATTGAGCATTAGTGATGAACAGCTGCTGTTAACAAGCAGAATCACTGAAGAAGAGAAACACAAGAACTACAACTGACTTCAGCCACAGCCTTAGATGAAATCAACTGAAATAAAAGACATTAAATCTCTCAAGATCTCAGCAGAAGATGATTGAACAACTCTACAAACAGCATCACCAGCTTCACATATTACTAACCAGTTTGAATTTTGTTTGTCATGCGTCTAAAAATGTCTTATTAAGAATTAACAGAGATTTAGATGTTAATGTTTATTAAAAATAACACAATTGGAAGTCACCACTGTGGAGATAAGTGTTTGCTTTAGTTGGGCTTTGACACTTGACTTTTTAAAAAAAGGGGTTTTCTCTGGTTACTGTAATTGTGTTTGAGAAACACATTGGTTATGATAAGAAAATCCAAGAGGAAAAAGTGCTTAGATTATCTATGTTGTTTTTATGATAATGGAATTGTTGTCATGTTGTAGCAGGTTCACTGATGTCATCAGTGGTAATGAGTAACATAGTTTGTTGATCACAACTGCGTTTTAATGAAATAATAGGTAGAGCTCTAAAAACACTTTGCACACTAGATTAGAACATCTGTACTGTTTAGACACACAGACATCAAGAATCAGCATATGAATCTCAACAATGGTGATGATCATCAGACAGATTCATGTTGCAGTGCATTCTGGGTGCACCAATCATAACTCATCCATGGCTCGAAGTCAAGGGTCAAGAGGCAACTAAAGCAAACACTATTCAACAAAACGGTAAGTTGAAGAAAAAAAAACATATAAACATTAATTCTCAATAAAGAACCTCTGTTTTAGATACTCCAGAACATGCTGATTCTTCATGTCTATGAGTGCCAGAATTCAAATCTCTTTAAGAACCATACATATAAAAGTCTTTTATGAAGTTTTTATCACATTGTTATCTCCTGTAACTGCAACAACATAGAAATCATAGAAGCATTACAGTTTTAGATAAATTGCAATCAGAGACTAAGACATACGATATGATTTTATCATAAGTTCCTTTCCATCAGACATGTGTTTAATACACACAATTGTGCCAGCCAAAGAGAAACTTAAACTTAAGAAGTCAAGGGTCAAGAGGCAACTAAAGCCTTTAACATGATTAGTGCAAATTGTCACATGACCAGAGCAGTTTACTTCCTGTTTGCACCTTGAGAAGATGATTGCTGCATCAAAGCTCCAAAACGAAAGGCTAGTACAGTATGTTAACATAAAGATCTGACAAAGATTTTTGGTACACATTATCTTTAAAGTTTCTAGTATTAATATATGTATTCACATATATCCAGTTTTTTTGAGTGTGGTCATAGAATGAATAAACATCTTGATGGTCACAATAGTGGCTGGTGGGATAACAGTGAACTTAGGTATACAATATAAATCCAATTGCAGTTATTAGTGAAAATGACACTAAAATGTTGCAATGACAAAATATTGCACTAAATTAACCCTTTAGAACCTAAAGCTAAAATAGGCCGTTTTCACTCATTATGGTTTTTTGAGTATAAAATTATAACACAATGTGATATCTTCAAGTGCAAGGTGTCATTTTTTTCAGAAAATTATTGGCTTTCAGGAAATTACAGTTATTGTACATTATTGTGTGTGGTGAGTTAGTAAATAGAATTTAAATAGACAAAAAAATGAAAAAACGGGAAGAAATTGTACTGCTTTTTATTTAGAAAAAATCAGAAAACTCATGAACGAAAGAATCTAATGCTTCAATCTTGAAAAAGGAATTATAATACATATATACAAGTCTTTCTGGGACACTGGATTGCACAGTTTTCACTCAGGAGCCATTTGTTTTACTCCAGTTATCCAGGTGTTTTTGGATCCTTCAATCCCTGCATGTCAAAAAATAATGCTAAATGGGTACCCTGTGCATGAAAAAGTGACGCCAAAGGGTCCTGACCAAGCGATAATATGTTACAAGTTGGGACTGAGAATGTGTTGCAATGAAAGTTGACAGAATGTGAGAATTAGTTTTGTTGTTGAAAGTTAATGATGGTTTATTAGTTGTGATGAAACATCACAATGCTCCTGCATTACTTGTGTAGAATCTTAAATGGCCATCCACACTGGCCAGTGGAGAACTTGTCTGGCCAGAGGAGAACTGGCCCCCCGACTGAGCCTGGTTTCTCCCAAGGTTTTTTCTCCATTCTGTCACCGATGGAGTTTTGGTGCCTTGCCGCTGTCGCCTCTGGCTTGCTTAGTTGGGGACACCTAAAGAGG